ATATCGCAGTGTGAGATAACAGTAGTTTTTTACAAAATGACAAAAAAATCCTATTAACGCTAACCAGACGAATTGATGTTACGCAAAACCTAAGGCCGCAAACTCTATAATGGGTTGCCAAGTAGTTGACCAAACAACAAGTGAATGTTTAAGCACGGGGGTGTGCGATAGACTTACCTCCATGTGGTGCACCCTGGGCAACGTATATTCATACGGCAAAAAAGTCAATCAATGGGCAGTTGACTTCTGACTTCAAACTACCACGACCCCCCTGGTTGTCATATTCGACCCCTTTCTCAGTACTCACCTTACCTTTTTCTCTACCTTTGTATCTGCCTGCTTCTTTTACATCTGTGAATAGCTCTTCTGTTCCCCACCCCTCGACTTTCTGCTACTTTGATGAATCTTCCCTCTGTGAAGCCCGAAGTCAGCTAAATGGCTAATGATATCTATCAAAACGCTTGCCATTTGAAATAAATAAATAAATGTTTAAGCACGTATCTAATTTAAAATCAAACCTTATCAAATCTCCAATTCCTCTTAAATAGTTTGTCCGCATCAAAACTGCTCTCGCATAAGAAGAACAACTAAAACAGGTTAGTGTGAATCGCACAAGAGCAAAGTGAACATTATGACGAACGCGTTAGAATAGGACAATAAATTCAGAAATAGAAGTTCTATAAAGACGTCAATCAACAGGGGAGACGCCATGTTTAAAAAAAGGCATTAGAGGACTAGTAACCTTAAGCTCCCAAAATTCAGGTGGGTGCACGACTGACAGAAACGAAAGAACAAGATGAAGGTGAATTCCCAATCATTAGACCAATTTTCCAACGATATGAATGAAATGGCATATTCCAATAATCTCAGTTTGCTCCACATAACACAACTCTGTGTTATATCAGGATTAGAAAGAGCCAAAGCATTGCTTTTACACCAGGATAATTAAACTATGGATAATAATGTAGCCTAAAGTTACAAGGCATTATGAATATGAAGTCAAAATAGTGCTCCGAAGATCGAAGCAGGAGTAATTATAGGGAAAGATAAGAAAAAAAGCAAAACGAAGCATTTGCATTATGACTATTTACCTGAGAAACCGAACATATCGACACAAATTAACTTAAATCCATGGAATGTGGTTGGAATTTGATCTTGTACCAGGAACTTAACAGCTTTCATTATCTCCATCTTAAAAAATCTAGATGACAAACAGATCACAAAAATAAACAAAGTCAGACCACTTCATACGCAGTAGCAACAGCAGCAGCAGCAGCACAAAAGTCACTCAAATGAATCCAAATAGAAAAGGGTACTGCACTAACCTGTTAACGAAACGAAAATGATTTGGAAAATAACCAAAATATTGCAGTCAGCATCTACAACATTAGATATAAAGTAAAAAAAAGTCATTGCTCAATATTAAAGTATGGCTGATAAAGGTAGCAATTAGGGGCTAATTTGAGTCACAAGGACATAAAATACATAATCGCATGAAAGCTAGTGGGCCTAAATTCACCTTTAGGGAAAAATAATGGACCATAAATAGTGAAAAGCAGAACAAATAAGAGATTCAGTGTTTGACACTTACAAAACGCGTTTGGGAAAGTATTTTAACGCACTAATTTTTGGAAGTCTGGATAAAGAGAAATCCGAATTTCGTCAGCACTTTAATTAGCCAAATTTAGCCAATAGAGTTGGTCAATTAGTCCACTAGGTGAGCATAGAAGGGCGTCAAGCTCGTGACCTTTGACACAACAAAAGTTTTCATATTTATTTCAATTTGTTAATAAGACAAAACCAGAAAAACCAAATGGCCCAAGGTTCGTATAAGGTAAATAATCTCCATTTATATTTTGTCAGGACCAGATAATTTTGCCTCCATAAGGTTTTCAAGGAAATTCAGCTCAATTTTTGGAGCTTAGTAGGTATTTCAATCGCTATCCATACTTCAGGGAAAAATATTCGTTTGTCTACTTAATTAAGAGGAAAAGTTAGACAATCTCGACGCAAATGATTTCGGAATTATTCGTCAAGACTAAACAAGAACCATTTAAGGTTGATACGAGCTTGTTATAAGAGGAAAATGCGGAACGTCGAATAAAAGTTGAAAAAATAACGAGATGACATTTACCTTAAGATTTTTGAGGTCGTCAGAAATGACTCCAATCTTGTTGTAACTAAGAAGGAGTTGTTTGAGGCCACTTAGACCATAGAGACAGGGTGGGAGTTGACCTTCTAAACGATTATGCCGCAAATCCAAAACTTCTAGACAAGTTAACTTGGAGAGATCCGCTGGAAGACCACTACAAACGATAGCATTTTGTTGGAGAAGTAGTCGACGCAAATTGGATAAGCTGGTCAGTTGGCCAGTAGGTAAACCGGTAAGTTTGTTCCCATTGAGAAAGAGCGTTTCCACTAGGGGTAAATCCTTAAAGATTCCAGCAGGAAGAGTTTGCAGACCGAAATCAGAGAACTCGAGGTAATTTGAGAGTTCTTCCTTGCACCGAACAATCTCTGCGGTAACGTCCTGAAAGAAATATCAGATTAAAACCTAAGTCGTAATATTAAGCCTTTTCTGATACAAAAACGAAGCAAATATCGATTTTTATAAATGAATCTTAGCCATTTAGTATTAAAAATATGAATAATTTAATTAAACAGTTAAAACCAACCGGTTGTTTATCTTTTTTAACCGACGATTTAACAGCTGACTTAAATTTCCTGCCTTCAAATTGCATTTGTACGGATTTCTTGTGACCATCTGACAATCGGAATCCGGTTGTTCTATTAGGTAAGCGAATGGGCTTTGTATTGCTGTGAATAGATATGTCTCCATTATCATTTAGAAAGTGTTCTTCACGGGTGCATATATTATCTGCAATCTCCACTGCAGAGGCATATGGGGAGCATTCACGTGTCGAGGAAGATTTCGGGGAGTTATGGTCTGAAGAAATTCCCCTAGTTGGGTCACTAGGACAATCGAAATCTTCCTCAGAATCTCCTAAAGGTTCTGTAGTTAATGGGTCCATATGGTAGAAGCTGAAGTAAAACTTGTTGATCACCAACGAGGTGATTCCAAGTAAAGACACCGGACACACGTGAGGAAATAGCGATTGGACAATCTTTTTGACCAATGGACATTCAAGTAAACTCGAAGCCGTGGGCGGCAGTCGAATGTTGGGAAATATATCCTTTACTGTTATTTCAAATCAGGTAACTTTTATCCCCGAAAATAAAATGCGCATCAAGAAAAAGACATTTAAAATAAATGAATAAAATTTTAACTAATGGATGATAAATGGGTCGATTATTTCTAACGACTCCTTAAACTGTTAGAAAGGTTATAATTTCAGTAATATTCAAAATATTTCCAAAACATTTAATATTTGTTTCATGTAAGCTAGATTATTGACAGGCGATGAATGTCAATTTGCCGGCGATAGATTATTTCAAGTAAAAGGACATAAGGAAATGGTCAAACAAAATTGTATTTTTACTCGAATAAACATTGCTATTACAATAAATTTTGTCATAGAATAATCTCTTGTGGACCATATTTACAGCATCTTAATATTACCATTTTTCAACGTAAGTAATTGAAACTTTAACTAGAGTAAATAATTTGTCACTTACTTCTTCTTAAAGTTTTGTTATTTTCCAATTTGTAACAAGTATTTTTACCTAAAATGCAAACTATAGTAGGGTTTATTTAATGATCACAATTATGTTTGTCATTCATAATATATACTATCCTTCATAAAAAGGTTTTATTTTTCGATATAATATTATTTTAAATTTACAAGAAACATTTTGTTGAAATTATGCTTCTGCTCTTTATATCTCTTTGTTTGGTTCAATTTTTTGAAATCTCGGGTTTTGTATCTATTGGAGAATGAATAAAGGCCGCGAAGTTGGATTGGATAAAATAGCCCGTGAATTTGAGAGCTATGAAGATTATCTTGACTCTCAGATTACTGATACAGATCTCTTTTACTTAGAAGTTCCGCATTTATTATTTTAAATTCATTTATAAGGATGAAGAATTAGCTAGAAAATTAGTTGAATTTGGATTTCGTGGCAATGTGGAACTTTTTAAGAGGGAAGATTTCGAACGCAAAAGAAAAGAGGTTATTTTAGATGATAAGAAAAGAACATTGGTTAGAAAGTATTGTTTCGTTGGCTTGTTTTAGACAAGTGTTTGCATTCGTCTAATGAGGCTCGTCTCCTCTATAGAGCTTTAGATCATGAAGGACTAGAAATTACAGAACCCTGTTTGGTTGCTTTGGCAGAAAGGGAAGAAATAAATAGACGCGGAAATTTGTCTGTAAATGTTTAAATAAAAAAATATTCTAAAAAGACAATAATATTTATCAGGGATATAAATAACAAGGGGCGTGAAATATCTGGCTACATTGATTACGCCCATCGATTAAAAGTGGAGGATTTTGTTCCCTACTTTTCGGGCAAGAAAAAACTCCTGCCTCGAGTTGGTGATCTAAGGTACATTTAGTAGATTTTGTTCAAAAAATATTAATTCAGCTATTTGAACTGGGATTCTCAATATATCGCATCATCATCTTCCCCGAATTACAAGGTTATTGCCGAAAATCCAAACGGTCTGTTATTTAAAAATAAGAGGGATAGAAATATCATTACAATTGATCCATGGGTAAGTCTTTTCTTATGCATCAAAATGTTCTAGTCGCAAACTGCCGGTGATAATTCAACCAGAACAGTGATTCAAACAAGCGAATACAAACAGTTTGTACTGTATGACCATATTACTAGAAGAAAAACATAAAATGTCTTCAAGACTCTCCTGGCTATCGCATTAGAACATTTACAGAACTTAACAAATATATAAGGTTTCTCTTAACTTATTTCCTCGATGTATTCATGATTTTAATTTGGAAAGTAGTTCTTCAAAGCGTTAGCATAAATATAGAAAGTAAAAGGTTGAATTCAAAAGCAACAACTCTTATTTCGCAGTCACGTTAATAAAAATAGTAGAAACTTCATGCTATGTTCCGAATATAAAATGAAATATTTCAAAACTCACCAATATTTAACACCCGAAGAACTTGGTAGAAGTTCCTACATGCTAACTTTTAAACCACCGTTATAAAAGTGAGTTACTGACTTTTCATTGTTTTGATTCCCCATCTTTTAAACTGTGGTACGTATTGCGTTGACCGCAACTTTGCTAATTTTATTGAAACACAGTAGAGAAAAGCCCGTGGAATAAATGTGGTCACTACTGTCGGAATATATACTAAAAGGATGCTGGAATGAAAAGTGAATACTTTTTAGCAGTTCTTGGTGTAGAGCTGTGAAAAGTTGCTGCTTTGAAGCTTTTCAAGCCTCTGCAATTACATCTGAAGGCTTGAAGAGAGGGAGGAAATTTGTGTTAAGAGATAGAGGACTTGTTTCTGAACCAACACTCTTTGTAATTGTAGCATACATCGAATTGACAAGTCTCTTATCAATATGACTTTTTACATTCCGCCTGCAATAAAGGACCCTCGGTTAAAATTATGACAAAGAGTCTATTTCCCATATTCACAACCAAATCCTATTGACAATTTCTTTTAACTTCTAACTTTCGAGACATTAATGATGAAGATTTCGGACACCAATGGAGCTGCCATTCGTGGCTCAATACTAT